GGAAGAAACTCATCATTACAGTGAGAAAATTTAACATGTCTACTCTCCGACACAAATTCAACCAGTTCGATAATGTTTACACCTGAGGAGGAAACCAGTGACATACTTCCTTTAGTTCCTCTCTATATATTTTACTCTGCAAGCCTGACAACGAGCTTCCTTTCAAGTTCTGTGGGAAACCCATCATCCAATACGATATTCACACATACCACTACACCGTGACTAAATAGGGTGTTCCATGTTTTTTTTCCCCCCTAAGCTGTTTGCATCCAAAAAATTTTACCAATCCACAATATCACAGATATTTCATCAGGGATCACAGATGACGTGGTTTTATGGCATCATCTCAGACCCAACTCCACTGGAAAAAAGATACGTATCTTGCCAACAACTCGAATGTCAAACACAAATAGGCGAGTACATCTCGCACAACTTGGACAGCAAGTTGAACATAGCTTCCACCGTTCCTAGTACCATTAAAGCCATCATAAAATAGGAAAACCACTAACGTAACTACCGCAACAATGTTGATTTTCAGAACACCAATATACTGCCAGAACAGCCAACCTCAACAACAACACCTTCGCAGTACATCGTCATTCTCACAGCTACTTAATAAATTGTAATGGCGCGCTACTAATTACCAGGCACGACGGAACCTGGAGAAGCGCCATTGAATCTACACTCATCATTATCTCAAAAAAACTCAACCAGAACAACGATCTCTACAATTTAGTTGAATTCTTGCCAGAAAACTTCTGGTTTATAAAAACCTCTGTTAGAAGTAATCAAGGTCCCAGGACCGAAACGTTTTCTAATAAATATGTCCTAGTGTTTACTCACGTCTTTCTAAACCAATTTATCGGTATCCCTTACCAAGGTTAGTACCAGAAAACTTCTGCGACGTTTGAGAAGCAGCGTGACGCGACTTATTCTCTTCCCTCACCGCTACTCATTTGAGCACACATACAGAGGTACAAAAAAATACAGATAAGAGCAGCATGCCAAAGCCACTTATACTATGCATAGCATTACGGGCTGGCTTAAAATTAACTTAAGATTAACTAAGCAATGATGAAATCAGTGATAAAACATTAATGTAAACAGATTACTATAAAGCACAAGTGTTTTACATTGTTGTACATTCAGTCGTATGGAGTATTCTGTTAGGTAGTGTATTTAAAAAATAATAAAGTTATATTGGGTTTTAGGTTTAACATTTATGTGATATAATTGTGAGAAACATTTAAGATATACAATTTATAAGGTTCAGTTATTCAGTATTTATTTGGTTTTGGGTGAGTAAGTGATCTTGAGAAGAGACTTGAATTTATAAACAGGTAGTGTTTCTTTTATATTTACAGGTAATGAATTCCAGATTTTAGGGCCTTTTATGTGCATTGAGTTTTTGCATAGTGTGAGATGGACACGAGGAACATCAAAGAGTGATCTGTGCCTTGTGTTATGGTCATGTGTTCTGTTGAGGTTGGCAAGGAGATGTTTGAGGGGAGGGTTAATATCAGAGTTAAGTGTTCTATGTATGTAATAGGTGCAGTAATAAGTATGGATGTTTTGTATGGTGAGTAGGTTTAGTGTATTGAATATTGGTGAAGTGTGCTGCCTGTAGTAAGAATTTATCATTCTAACTGCAGCCTTTTGTTGGGTAATTAGTGGTCTGAGATGGTTAATTGTTGTTGAGCCCCATGCACAAATTCCATAGGTGAGATAGGGGTAAATAAGAGAGTGATATAGGGCCAGGAGGGCTGACTGTGAAGCATAGTACCGTATCTTCGATAGTATGCCTACAGTCTTGGAAATTTTCTTAGAAATTTGTTGTATATGTGTATGAAATTTGAGTATTATCAAGGTGGATTCCTAAGAATTTTCCCTCTGTTAGCTTTGTGATAGGTGATCCGTTTATCATTATGTTAAGAGGGACATCTGTAGCTCTGTTACCAAACTGAATGAAGTAGGTTTTGTCAATGTTTAGTGTAAGTTTGTTAGTCCTCATCCAGGTAGATATTTTCTGTAATTCGGTATTTACAGTATTGGCTAGCGTGACTGGGCTCGGGTGGGAGAAGACGTATGTAGTGTCATCTGCAAATAGTGTGGGTTTGAGTAATTGCGAAGCATTTGGTAGGTCATTTATGTATAGGAGAAAGAGAAGAGGGCCAAGGACACTTCCCTGTGGGACACCAACTGTAATTGGTTGTGCAGAAGAGTTTGCCCCATTTGCGTACACATATTGGCTTCTGTTGCTGAGGTATGACTTGAGGTAGTTGAGGGAGTGCCCTCTTATACCATAGTGTGACAATTTTACGTGGAGCAAGTCATGGTCAACTGTATCAAAAGCTTTACGTAAGTCAATGAAGATCCCCAGTGGGACTTCTTTTTTCTCTATTGCAGTGTATATATGTTCTAGCATGTGTATAATAGCATCATTAGTATTTTTATTAGGCCTGAATCCAAATTGGCAGGGGTTGAGTATGTTTTGGGAGATAAGGTAGGAGTAGATTCGTTTATGAATTAATTTTTCGAAGATTTTTGAGAGAGGGTGTAAGTTGGATATTGGCCTATAGTTATTCAACTCTGTTTGGTCTCCTCCTTTGTGGATCGGGGTGACCCTTGCTATTTTGAGTACTGTAGGGAAGGTGGAGGATTCAATGGATTTGTTAAAGAGTGTTGCAATGATTGGTGATAGCACTTGTGACACTTTTTTGTATATAAAGGGTGGTAAGGTATTTAAATCTCCTGCCTTGTTTTTTAGTGCGTTGATAATAAGGGAGACTTCGTATGGGTTAGTCGGAGCTAGGAACAGTGTGTTCGGGTAGTTGCCGGTGAGGTAGTCATTTGGTGGAGTATCTGAGCTTGGGATTTTATTGGCAAGGTTTTGTCCTATAGTGGAGAAGAAATCATTGAGTCTGTTTGCTGTTTCTGTTGGTGGGAGTTGGGGTTCATCTGATTTTGCTAATTTTATTTCGCTATTTCGTGATATCTTTTTTGTTCCCAGAATTTCTGATAGGGTTTTCCAGGTCTTTTTTATATCACCTCGTAAGTTGGATAATCTGTTCTCATAATACAATTTTTTTGCCCTTCTTATCAGGCTGGTTAGGATTGACGAGTAACGTTTTGTTTGGTCTCTGGTTATGTGACCCATTCTGTACTGTTTTTCATATTGGTGTTTTGTATTTATGGATTTGAGAATGCTGGGTGTTAGCCAGGGACTGTTCAGTCTCTTAGCTGTCATCTGTTTAGTTTTTTTTAGGGCAGTGCTTGTTATAGAGGTATTGGGTCTTTTTTAGAAAATTATTGATACATTCGTCAATATCTGTATATATTTCTAGCTCAGTGTGCCAGTCAATGTTTGCTACTGCTGTTGTGAAGTTATTAATGGCTGCCTCATTGTGAAGTCTGAAGGTGACTTTAGTAGTGTCTTGGGGTGTTTACCAGAGTTGTTATGAGGAAAGTAGGGTAGTGGTCTGTGGTATTATCTGTAATTATGCCTGATTTTAAAGGGGATATGGTGTTGGTCCAGATGTGATCAAGTAGGGAAACACTAGTCTCTGTAACTCTTGTAGGTTTTGTTACTGTTGGTAGCAACATACAGTTACTCATTGTGTTTGTGAATTCAGTAACGTGTGGGTCCTGGTCTTGCAGGAGATTTTATATTGAAGTACCTGAGAGTAGTAAGTGATCTTTGTTCATGCATGCATCAGTTATCATACTTCCTAGGTTTTGACTAAATTGGCTAATGTTTGACTGTGGAACTCTGTAGATGTTTATCAATGTGAGAGATTTTTGTAGGTATTTGGATTTGAATTTGGCTATTATATATTCCCCATGTTCATCCCTTGTGCAAGTATTAGTGATACATTCTAGTTGGTCTGAGTAGTATATGGCTGTGCCACCCCCTTGTTGGTCTGGCCTACAGTTGTGTATGGCTGTGTAACCAGGAATGGCATAGACATCTGTACTATCAGGCTTTAGCCAGGTTTCAGTTAGTGTAATGATGGACATATTGGCATGTAAGGAATTTAGTAATGCTATGAGGTCATCGTAATGCTTGCTTAAAGATCTGATATTGTAGTTAAAGATAGTTATGTTGTTGTTGGCACTGAGAAGTGCCTTTGATTGTTCTGCAGTGTGTAGTAATTACAGTAACTGTTTGATTCATTTAAGTCATTAAATAAGAGGTTGGTATCAGGATCAATGCTTGTAATCATAAGATTTGTAGTGAATCTATAGTTAGAATTAAGTATAAAACAAAGTAAATAGTCTTAAGCTAAAAAATAGCACCTGAATTATTTAACAAATGTAAAATAATGAGCTAAGGTAGTATTTTTTTTTTTTTTTTTAGCTAAAATAAAGGAGACAATATAAAAGGGACTAATACAAATAAAGTGATGATCAAATAATGGAGCTTGGGAATATGATAGTAGGTAGTACTATAAAGGTAATTCTTTAAAGTTAGAATTATAGTATAAAATTATAATATTTACTCACTCTCCCTTACTAGACTTGTTTTTGCGATTATAAAGCCCATTATATGGACTAAATATCATTAATAAATGTTCGATGTAACTGCCCATGTGTCCTTACCAAGTACAAAGACAACATTTACTGTGACAGCGTCTTTCAAAGAAGAGCCGCTGCAAGTGCTAGACAGATGTGTGTCTTCACTCAGACACTGAACTGTACATATTATCACAACAATTTTTGGATATATATTCTACTCATGATGTAGTTTTTATAGTTTTGCCCACGTGAGTTCGAGTTAGTCAATTGTCTTGTTTAACTATCAGAACTTTGTATCTCTAATATTTTGAATGCCACCCACACCATGGGTATGGGATAAATAATAGTTTTTTTTTTAAGTTTAATGTCTTTATTATGTACCCCATACCCGGGTCTTATGATGACCCACAGCTGGAGCTTTAGGTCATCTGATCGAGGCCTTCCTCTAGTTTACTCCTCCACCTCTTTAAAAATTTTGGTTATGATTATATAACCATTAGATGACTGCCCCCTACCTGTTACTCCTTACTCGTGAATATTATGACGATCAATGTTTAATTTTCTTGTTATTTGCAGGAGCAGTTGGTGGAGGTCGCGCAGGTCCTCCCTCCACCAGTGACCGCCAATCACACCACACAGACAAGTCATGGAGGACTCACCGTGACTCCAGGGACTCGAGTCAGCCTCATCTGGTTCCTTACTCTGGGGGCTACCCCTCAGGCTCAAGCACACAGTACACCAGCCGCCCACCACCCGCCCACTACCCACCCTCACGCCCTTCCTACTCTAGTGGGCGGCCTCCTTCCCGCCCGCACACACCATCAGCCACTTCATCTTCATCATCTTCATCTAGTGAGGATGATAGCGAACATGCGCAAGGTGCTATTGTGCCTGTTGGTTCTATGCCTCATCCAATATATGGCTACTCCGGCTATTACCCTGGCTACCCGCCTGGCCCTCCACAACACCCTGGCTACCCAGGCACGTTGAAATCTGCTCGATCAGTGCCAGCCTTGGCCCTAGCCACCTGGGATGGCGAACCCTGCCCTGTGCATGGCAGCGGCCCCCTCTCATTCCCACAGGGACCATTACCTCCCCCAGGGTACCCACCCATGATGCCACACGGTGCCATGTCATTGCCACCTCCGCCAGGCTCCAACCGTCGTGTTAACTCTATCTACGACATGCGTCTTGCAGCACCTCCAGGAGCCATCTATGGAACACTTCCCGGGAGGTCGTTGCCAGCAGACAGGCGAAGCCTGGCCGGCTCAGCTGTCATTGGTCCCGCGGCGCCGGGTGCTCCTCCAGGTATCCCTCCACACCTCCTCCCACCCATGGCTCGCCCACTTCCACTAGTGGTAGATGAAAAAGGGAACCCCGAGCCCTTACCTGTGCGCAAAACGGCTGACAAGAACGGCTCCCTACCCCTAAGTATTGCAGCAAAAGTAGCAGCATCAGTGGGGCACCTGGAGAGTGACAGCCACTTGAAGAACCGTGTGTGTTGTCGAGGTGGAGCCTGTGTTGCCTGGGTCATCCTGGCAGTTATATGTCTAGGTGTTCTTCTGGCTGTAATGCTCAGGTTTATATTATAAGCTTGTACAGCGGCCATGTAGTGGATACACCTGGGATAAGTCAAATGATACAAATTAAGGTACATGATTTACCTAATGATGGTTTTAAATCATTTCCAAAAATTTTGGAAGTGCATGACTTAATAAGAAGTAAATTAAGTATATTACGATAATTAAAATGATGTAGATAAATGGTTCAGAGAACTGACAAGTTGATAAATTAGACACATGTGTAACACTTAGGGATCTTTAGTGAAGAAACGTTTCCTCAGTAAAGATACCCAAGTGTTGTACATGTGTCTAATTTATCAACTAAAATGATAAAATTAACCATGTTAATTGTGTAATTGCTTCTACACAGTGGATAACATTGCCATTTTTCTCAGATAAGAAATTTGAAGCAAAATTTAGACATAAACCGACAACGTTGTGGGTTTTCTATTTATGATAAATCTGTATAGTCCTTGTGGCTTAGCGCTTCTTTTTGATTATAATAATATTTATGATAAATGCAACACTTGTGTATCTTTATTGTGGAAATATTTGCAGAATATAGATACCTAAGTGTTGCACAAGTGTCATATTTATCAACATATCGGTTTTCTAAATTTATTCAAATAGCCATTAATGGTTGGAAGGCAAAATGCCATTAAGTACGGAAATACAAAGACACGGAAGAGCAAGCCTTTTTAAGAGCATTTTACTCTTAAGTGAGTTCTCCTTGAAGTCATACAGAGGGTAGTTAGTAAGTACCTTTGTACATAACTGTCTTTGCTCAAAGTCTTGTCTGTGCTTTGCTGCAAGTGTCTTTGTATTACCTTAGATATTATAGTTAATTATAACAAACCAGTCATGGGATTTTATGCTAGGAATGAATGTATGTATTTATATATGCAGTGATTACATGGAACTTATCCTGTGATCAGGATTATTGCATATGTTAGAAATTACTCTGTACTTTTAAGTTATTGTATATGTTATATATTAATTACAATTATGTGAACAGACATTGCATAAGATCAAGTGTTTATTATAGACAGTGTTTTGCCAGGTACGAACTTATTAAGTCAGTGGTAGAAACTCCAAAATATTAGCAGTGGGAGGTGAAAATGATATGAAGACACACACTGTAGAAGAAGCTTTGTTTTGTGATAATGTTTTTATCTATTTAGATGACTGAGAAAGATCTGAACAGATCGAAATGTTCCAGTAAAGGCTTTGTTCTCCTAGGAAAAGTGTGTTATGCTGGATTCTGCATTATAATCTTTGTTTCTACAAGTACATGTACAAGGTATACAGGCCTTTCTGTACATACTATTGTACAGAAAGACCCTTGTTATGCAGAGCATTTCCCGCAAATTAGGTCAGTTTTGTCCCCAGGATGCGACCCATACCAGTCGACTAACACCCAGGCACCTATTAATTAATGTGAAATTTATAATGTAAGGTGTTTGTATTGTGACAAAAATGCTTCATAAATATAAATGTGAGCATTTTTTCACAATACAAACACCCTACATTATAAATTTCACATTAATGTGAAAACCTGCATCACAAGGGGTTATATGGAAGAGGGTTGGTGAGATGAGGTTCAGGATTTCTTAGAAACTATCATGTACGAGAATTGATCCCTACACCGCAAAATTGTAGAAATTGCTGGCGCTTCAGCTACCCTGCAAAATATTGCAGGTCATTGGCAGAATGCCCGGTCTGTGGTGCTGCTGACCATAGCAATCCATCCTGCAGCCAACCTCCCTCTTGCCTTAATTGCAAAGAAGCACACCCACTTTATCTTTAAAAGTTAAGCATCACTTGGTAGTAATTTTGCTAGAGGTGGATTGTACTATTTTGTCTTTCATAAAGTGCTAACACTGTGTGGAAAAGACAGCACAAGAAGGAGTGGTCGAGGCTTGAACCTCTGCTATTCACTCTCCACTCCTTGACTTGCTGTTGGTGTCCCAGGAAATGAACAGACAGATGCTGAGGAGAAGCCTACTACAACAAACTTGCTGCATTGCAGACTTCAGCCTTACAGTGTCTTCATGCATAAATACATAGATACATGTATATCCTTGGGGACTTGCTGGCTCGGTGGGTCCTACTGTCATGATATAGGGTCCAGCAGTGTGTGTGTGTGTGTGTGTGTTGGTCCTCCTTCAACAGGACTCATCACCTGAGATGAGTCTTTGTAAATTGCAGGATCAGGCCCAAACCTGTTGCAGGTGTTTCTGTCCTATGTGACGCGTGTGCTGTTTAACACATTTTAACTGTTTGTCCAGGATTTAGGTGGTCTTCTTTGCTTTCATTCTGGTGGTCTTGGGGAACTTCAAGGAGAATCTTTTCACATTAACATTTTAACCCTTAAACGGTCCAAACAAATCGACGTTCAAATTCGTAGTGCTACAAAAGTAGATCTACTTTTTTTTAACATATTTTCAAATGTAACAAAAAAAAAATGTAGATAAAAGTTTTTTTACATGTTTTCAAATGTAAAACAAAAAAGATCTACATTTTTTACATACTTTCAGATGTTGAAAAAACGTGTATATACGTTTGGACCATTTAAGGGTTAATGGGATTTTTAACTATTGCTGTTAATTTTAACTTACATGATAGTATTTATATGTAAGTTTTTTATTGTTTAATTTTATCTTCAATTTTTGTATGTGTTGTATGTATGTTTAATTGCCAGCAGTGCTGAATGATTTACACGTTCAAAGTGGTCTTCAAGTTTCAAGACTATCTACCTTCCTGACCAGCTAAGCTGTTGATGAAGTGGAAAAATGTCCCTTGGCTATGTTCGATAATTCCTAAACTCGCATTATTCCAGCTATGATTTCTTCAGCCTCAGAGTCTTCTGTAACCTCCTATTTCACAACGAAATTGGCATTGTTCCTATCTTTGATGTTGGTGTTTGTTGTGGTGGCTAACAAATGCATTGTTAGTTTTTTGTGCTTTCCAAACATATCTCGTGGATGAAAACACAAAGACGACAGTGTAAGTCTTTATTATAACAATGTTTATCCTTAAGGAAACTTTATCAAGTGATGAACAAAGTTTGGTAATAAAGGCTTATGCTGTATTATGTCTTTTCATCCTATTGTGAGCTTCTTGGCTGGGGCCCAAGGTAGCCCTTGTGGTTTAGCGCTTCGTTTTGATTATAATAATAATGGGGCCCAAGGCTGTTCGACTGCCTCCCACCATACATAAGAGGGACTACCAATAGACCCCTGGCTGTCTTAAGAGGGAACTGGACAGTCAGTTCCCAACCAACTGGGCTGTGGTTCATACATTAGTTTGTGTGCAGCGAGCAGTAACAGTCTGGTTGATCAGGTCCTGATTCACTCCGAGGCCTGGTGTCGGACCAGGGCGTGGGGGTGTTGATCCCTGGAACACCCTCCAGGTATTGCCTCTTCCACAACAACTGTTGTTCAATCCTTGTGTTAATATCTCCTGATGCTAGGTGAGATTTTGGCCATCTTCCCACCATAGGCAGGTTTGAGAAACTATACTCATGATTATGAATTGGACACACACGGCTCACGCATGGATACCACATAGAGGAAATTCTATCACTGCTGCAATGATTGATTGCTTGGCTGCACTGTCAGTTTGTAATATCTTTAATTAGTTTAATACCTTTATTATGCACCCCATACCCATCCTGTGGGCGGTAGTCGAAAGATTACAAAGGTACATAATGGGTCCAGGGACTGGACCCCATAATATCTTAATAGATTGTCCTGTTGATCAGTGTTATGCAGGACTCCCGAAATCTACAACACCATAACACACACTGACCTCCTTGCTGAAAGTCCCACTTTCAAAGCATACTCCTTGAGTTTCTAATGGAAACTAATCTGTTGTACTAGCTGTAATTTCAATTTTATTGTTGCAGTAACCTCCACTTAACCCTATCCGTCGTTCATTCCTAACGTTCGCACATTGCTTCTCTTGCACTGCATTACTTTCACTGCTGTATAACCTATACAGATGTTGTGCTCTAATAAATTATTTTATTATTATTATGACTCTCGAAATAACACAATAACAAACAAACCAGGGAACAGGTGGGTTTTGAACCCATGAAGAGGAGTTTTAGGACTCGCTCGTCATAGGTTCATTATTATTATTATAATCAAAGTGCTAAACTGACAAGGGTCATGCAGCATGCCATAGATTCAAACCTCACCAGTTCCCCTGGTTTATTTTTAGATGGAGCCAGATTTTGGGAATGTTATGAAACTAGGCCATCTGTTTAATGCTCCTTTATCCTGATGCAACGTGATATACAAGTGAGTTTTTGTTTCTTCCATTGACTTGATAAAGTGAAATATTTACAATAAAGACAGGTCGCAGAACGAGCCTTTATCTGGATAAGGTTTCACTCTTTATTAAGCTTTATAACTTGATAAAGCTCTGCACACAGCGAAACTTTGTCCCATTAAGTTAGTTTAATAGTGTTATGTATCCCACACTCTGGTAGTCAAAAGATTACAGAGGTACATAATGGGTCCAGGGACTGGACCTCATTTGATAGCTAAACAAGTTACAGCAGTAATGAACTATTTACATGTTTAAATCTGGTTACAGTCGTAATACTGCAGTGTTTTTGTTTTCATACTTGTCAACAATGCACCAAAATGTTTAGTTCACATATTTGTCGGCAATCCTTGCCATGTGTCCATTGTTATAAATGAGCTGTTCAGAATTACTCCAGCTGACTATATCTTATGCAACACAAGGTTGAGTGAAGTATTCCAGGTGCTTTTTATATTGGTACTCTTAATAAATAAGATTCATACTGTAATTGTCATTACAAACAGCCTCGTAACAGAAGGGGCCGTGGAGGCATTGGTCCTCAAAAACCATCTCCAGGTATACAGTGACTGTATGGTGTGTACATACACTGTAAGGTTATATAGTGTCGTGGATGTACTCTTGAGAGTTAAATATCCAGTATTGTTGGTAACTCTTAATGCAACTTAGTGAAGTAGTATTTTGGAGTGTACGTATATGAGAGAGTACGAGTCATAATGTCATGGCTGCAACAATAGTCACACTTTAGAGAGGAAACTTGAAATGATATTTCAGACTGCCATGGACTAAGTCACAACTCGTGTGACTGATAATTGTCCTAAACGGAATGAAATCTCGTCTGAAGTTCTTTCCGAAGTGCGAATTGTCGCTGAAAAAATGTATATATACTTTATATATTTTTGGGCTACATATTTTAAGGACATAATTCTACTTTTGTAAACATTTTTTATTAAAATTGCCTATAGTTGTACATATGAAATTTGAGGCATTAAAATATATGTAGACATAACCATGGTGCCGGGTTTGATTAATTTATAATGTTGTAAATATACTGGAGCATAAATAAAAATATATGGACCTTATTTAAATTTTCACTGCGAAAGTGAATATCCTAATGTAGTTACTGTCCTTCACGTGCCTTGATGCTGGTGAAGGGCTCTTGATTCAAGGAACCGGGATTCCGCTTCAATAAATCCTGATTGCCTGTCATTCCCCAGGTGCAGTATGGCACCTGCCAATTTGGCACTTCCTCCTATGAATGGAATGGAATTTTTTGCAACTCATCGGCCATCTCCCACCATGGCAGTATGAGCAGAAAAAGAAAGTAAGTTCTTTATTTTACATATAGTATTTTATGCAGAAAGGGGTTACTAGTCCCTTGTTCCCGGCATTTTAGTCGCCTCTTACGACACTCGTGCAGCGCTGTATAGCCCTTGTGGCTTAGCGCTTCTTTTTGATTATAATAATAATTACGACACTCATGGCTTACGGAGGAATGATTCTTCTCCACTTTCCCATGGCGTAATGTAATTCAATATCAGCACTACCACTAAGGGGGTTCCTTGACGCTGGTGAGGGGCTTCTTGATCTAGGAATTTGGATCTGTGCTCCGGTTCCTGAATTGAGCCCGGGAATTTCCTTCCCCCCCCATGCACTGTATAATCCTATGGGTTTAGCGTTCTCCCATAATTATAATAATAATCTAGCTCACTACCTCAATGGAGATTTCTGAATGCTGGTGCATCTTTCAAAGTAGGTCCCTAGGCCTCCAAGGTCTTGATAATAATCTTTATTTCTACAAGTATATGATACAACTTACACAAGCGTAGCTGACAAATAACATACTACTATATAGAAAGTCCCTGGTTATACACAACATTTCGGGCAAATTAGGTTAATTTTGTCTCGAGGATGTGACCCACACAAGTCGACTAACACCCAGGTACCTATTTTACTCCTAGGTGAACAGGAACAGCAGGTGTCGTAAAGAAACACGTCCTAATGTTTCCACCCGTCACTGAGATTGAAACGCAGACCTCAGTGTGTAAGCTGAGTGCCCTACAAATCGACCTACAGGACATCCTACACAATACTATACATTACACATTATTATCCCCTCAGGGAAGGTTCCTTGATGTTGGTGAGGGGCTCTTGATTTAAGGAATTGGATCTGTGCTCCACTTCCCCGAATTTATGCTGGAAAGCCTTCACATTCCCCCCCCAGGCGCTGTATAAGCCACGGGTTTTAGCGCTTCCCCTTGATTATAAAATATACACATTATTAATGAAAATAAAATATTTATTTCTTTGCAAAGTTACAAATTTTTGGTTTCATATTACAAAATATTTTTTTACCAAAGTCCCCTTTGCTCCTAGCATTTCGGGCAGGGTACACATTCTTTTAAAAACGTTATAATATACTGCCTCAGATATTATACTAACATTTTATGCTATATTTATTACACAATATTATACTAAACAATACTATACTACACAATACATGCCTAAATGAAGCAAGTTGGGAAGATATCCTGACACCACGGATCTAAACCCTTTTTCCTAAAAAAAAATGCTTCTGGCATTTGGGGTCCTCAAGGAAACTTTCCCCCCGAAAAAAAACAGATTAAATAGAGATGCTCCCTCTCAGCGAAGACGAAAACACGAGTTGCTGAAAGGGGGCCCGGGCATGACCGGGCCGGGGGGGCTTGACCCCCGAATACCCCCATCGACTCAGTAAAAATTTTAAAAAAGGGAAAGGGAGTACTGGCAAAGAAATCAAAATATACTTAAGTTTGGGGAGCCATACAGGACCAAGAAACACAAAAATTTAAAAGCCATAAATAAACAAAAAAAAAATTTTCTTACCAAATTTTGTGCAAGACAGGATAAAAATACCGACAATATGAAAGTTAAACACATGGGCAACATCTGGATATTTTTATTGTAGATTTTTTGCCATCCAGTGGTTTTAATCATACAGTTTCGAGGAAAAAATTGGAAGACCTACTTCCACGGGGAATCCCGCCTACTGTGACATGCCTCGTCTGCTACACCCCTTTTCCACTGACGCCTAAAAACCGCCACCTTTTTTGCCTTTGCCCAATTCTCTACACCACGATTTGTGAACACTAACCCCAAAGGGCTGAGGGACTGATTACCTCACTTTTGTATATATTTTTCTACGTCTTCTAATTACCTGAATCTGTACTGTAAAGCCACGGAGGGCAAACGCTAAAATAAAGACATCCAGATTTTGCACATTGTCTTAACTTTCACCCAAATTTTGGGGAAAAAACACCTCCAGTAGGGGGCCCTTGCTTAAACAAGAGGGGACTTGCACAGATGACAGAAAATAAATGAATGATTCTAAAATTAATAGACTCAGCTTTTAGTAACCCCATTAAAAGACTGGGGGTCGACAATGTAAATGAATTTTTTATGGTCAAGACTAAAACTGGCCAATTCAAGAATTTCTGATAAATCCTAACACCACAGGGTGTGAAAAAGCAATGAATGACTCTGCCCTAGACCCAGACTCGTGGAACTCCGTGTTGATCAAGAACTGCAAGAAACCCCTTTCACATGCATTAACTATTCTATGGAGAAGGAGCATGGACACGGGTTGTACCAGTCACTAAATAACAACAAATATAGTCCCACTCCACAAGGGTATCAGTAATGCACTTGCCGAGAATTACAAACTGATTGCACTAGCGTCCCACATGATAAAAATCTTTGAGTTCCAAGAGAAAAGGTTGCCAACCACATGGATACCCATCAGTTGCACAATCCAGGGCAGCATGGGTTTAGAGCAGGTCGCTCCTGCCTATCACAGCTACTGGATCACTATGAATGGCTGGATGCACTGGGGAACAACAAAAAGCGATGTAGTATAATATACTTTCTAAAAGCTTTTGACAATGCCTGCGGGGTTAAAAAAATTTAGTAGGTTAAGCGCTTCTTTTTTTTTTTAATAATAATAATAATAATAATTTTTTAACAGGTGCGATCATGGGGTAATAGCTACAAAATAAATGAAAAAAAGGAAAGACTTCCTAACAAAAAACACATAATAAAAGTAAAAAGAGAAAGTCAGGGCGGGTAATGAAAAACTCTGTTCCACAAGGACATCCCCATTCACCATCCTTTTTCCCCATCTTCATTCTGACTAGAAAAGATTTGCTACAGCACAGTCCCTTTTTCTGACAATACCAAATTTACATACATGCATCCACTGTGGACAATGCAAAACTCCCAAACAGACATTAACCAAGTCTTTAAATGGGTGTCAGAAAACAATATGAAGTTCAGTGAAGACAAATTTAAATTACTCCGCTATGGAAAACTCGAAGAAATAAAAACTGTATCGAAGTGTAAAACAAATTCCAATCCTACAATAGAATGAAAAACTAATGTGAAGGACCTGGGAGTGACAATGTCAGATAATCTCACTTTGAAAGATCACAACAATGCATTTACCACATCTGCCAGAAAAATTATAGGATGGATAATGAGAAAATTCAAAACTAGGGATGCCAAGCCAGCGATTATTCTTTCCAAATCACCTGTTCTCCCTAGGCTGGAATATTGCTGTGCACTAAAGGCCCTTTTCAACAGGTGAAGTTGCAGACCTGGAGAATGTACAGAGAACCTTTACTGCAGGTATAAGCTGTGGAAAATTGCATTTATCTGAATGTATCATTATGTACATAACAGTAAATGAACAAAGATAATTATTATTTATCAGTTAGACAAGTAGGAATTTGGGACACCTAGGTCGCAAAAAATGTCCCCCTTCGATACCTACCACTGTCATATCCACAAGTTGCTCTGGACCTATTAATTATAAATAAAAGATACATCACCAGGAATTCTGGTAAATATATAAATTTGTGGACTGTATATTAAAAATAATAAATGATTATATATATATATATATATATATATAATATATATATATATATATATATATATATATATATATATATTATATATATATATATATATATATATATATATATTATATAT